AAGGACAGCCTCGGTGCTCCGGCCCGGCGGCTGGCTGCGGGCAAGGGAGCGGTTTTGGTTCCAGCCCCGGTGGCAGAGGCATAGTGGAGAGGACAGCCAGCCCAGAGGCCGTGTCTGTGCTGTGGCAGAGCTGGTGAGCTCCGGAGAAAGTCGGCGGAGCACAACCAGCGCGCTCTGAGACAATTTGTTAAAACCATCCTTCTCTTGGAAAGGCAGAACACTTTGTAGAGGGGATGAGTAAAAACACACCAAGATTGGGCGTGGTTTTTCGTATCACAGTGCAGAACTGGCCCCTAATCATAGAATCATAGAATCGTTCAGGTTGGAAGAGACCTCCAAGATCATCGAGTCCAACCATCAACCCAACACCACCATGCCCACTAAACCATGTCCCTAAGCGCCTCATCTACCCGTCTTTTAAATACCTCCAGGGATGGGGACTCAACCACTTCCCTGGGCAGCCTCTTCCAATGTTTAACCACTCTTTAAATTAACTACTCTAATTTGAAAGAGCAGCTCGGCAGCACGCAGGGATACAAGGGTACGCTGGAAACAACAGGACAAATGCAACATGGGCTTGGGAAGGAGACAGGAGCACACATTCAGAACAAACTTTGAGAGAGGGTAAAACCAGCATTATGATCCAGCGTGGCAGGTGATGCCACCTGATGGCGAAAGGCTCGTGGTTTGAAAACAAAAGGAACGTTCGATGGGCTCCGCATGACATGCACCGCCGCACAGAGGGACAGGTAGCGCCCTTGGTGCAGAAGTCGAGCGTCTGGCCTGTGCTGTTAACAGTGAGTCACGTCCTGCCGCCTGCGGCAGAAGGGGTTGCGCTGGCGCTGGCGTCACAGACGCACACGCGCGCTGCCGGCAGAATGTGTTCGTTCTGTTCTTGGACCGTGTCACCTCTGAGCTCCGGAGACGAGTGCAGGACAGCTCTTGTTTTACTGCTTGGTGCCTCTTGCCACGTGAATGGCATTTCCTAGGGAGCAAAGACACAGCGCGAGCTCTCCGCGGTCCGTGCAGGACGGACCTTTCCAACCTCGCGCAGGGCTGCAGAGACGGCGTGCCGGGTGGGGAGACGTTCCACGGGACAACCGGCCAACGAGCATCCTCCCGGCGCTGCAGGGGCCCAGCCTGGCCTCTCACCCGGAGCTCCCCACAGCCCTCGCTGCTCTTGCCGCTCTGCCAAGCAGCGCTGCGGCCGAGGGAGGGCAGGCGGTCAGGGGCCCTGCGGACCGTCAGGGCACGGCAGAAAAGCTCCGTGGGCGAGTGTCAGCTGACTGGGCTGGCTTTGACGTACACGCATCGAGATACGGACATGCGTGCGGATCGCAGTTTGCAGGATTTTCACTCGCGTAAATGTCAGCCAAAACGTTTGTTATGAGAAGAGGAGCTTTGCGAGTAGCGAAGCGTAAGCAAAACGTACTGCAGAGCACTGCTGGAACGTAGGTCTGACCTTCGTTCTTCTGGATCTTCTGTCAACAGTGGAACGAAACATCCCAATTCAGCTGTCTAAAGCGGCGTGTTTATTGTTTGTACAGCTTTGCTTTTGTAATAAAAGAGAGCGAGTAAAAAATGCACTTAAGCAGCTTTAAATGGTGCAGGTATTTTATGCAACCGCTCAGGGAAATGGATCATTAAAATGTTAATGAGCACTTAACTCCATCGGGTATTTTTGAAAGTCCCAACCAGAATACCGTTATAGCGATATTATTTTACTGTGCTTTACAATGGTAATATATTAATACATGTATTAAACCAGTTATTTTTAAACAACATGTTCTAGGTCAAGTCAGTAGAAGATGACGACTTTGGATTCTTCCATTTGGAAGTCATTTGGAAAAACAGTATTTTTCATTTTCTTCATTTGATCTACTATTACTCTCCAGTACTACTTAAGAGGAAAGGAGGTTACCTAAAATCTCGGTCTTTAATGACCTTTGCATGTTTTATGGTAGAGATACTCAAATGTCACTAGTGACTGCATTGATGACTCACTGAGTATGTGAGGGTTGCATCTGTTCTACATTAACTGTAATTTGCATGCATGCATCCATTTCTGCATCCGTTAATATCATAAACAACTGGAAGAGGCATCATAAAAAACACCAAACTTGGGCTCTGCCTTAACATCAAACACTGAAAACAATTCAGGAGTTAAAAACATCATCTCCCATGAATACACTTTTAAAAACATACAGTAGGCCTGCACAAACGTTGCTGAGCCAGTAACTAGATACCGCTTTCCTCTTCGGACACGGAAGAACGCTGGTAAGTTAAGTATAGGTGAGGACTTTTTGTGATACAGTGCCTTCACTGCTATCCAAGGGAGCGTACATTGTTGCGTATTGCTTCGCCAGAGGTTTGGCACCTTTGCCCCCCCGTTCAGAAATGTCCATATGCATTTCATTTCTCATCTCTTTCTTCTGGTGGATTAATTTCTTGCTGTTTCTCCACAGATGAGGTTTTTCATATTACATAATCGGGTCCCCTATTCCCAATGCCCGACAGTTCTTTCTCTAACCAATCTGTATCTCGATTAACTGTCTTGGATAACTGGGAATTGCTGCTTCTCTTTGGCACATAAGCTTTCGGATCTACATTACAGCAGTGAACCTGGATTAAGTCCTAAAAAGCGTCGGTGTCCCTGAGTGAAATGTTAACAGTGTTTAAACGTGGAAGTTGTTTATGTGTGTTGCGTAAATAGGGAAAAAAAAAAAAATCAGAAGAGTGGCTTGGTTTTAACCATCAGGGTTTCCTCGCTGAGAATATGGATTCTGGAGATAACGAGCACTGTCCACTCCAGAATCTCACAGGATCAGTTTTGCAGCTTGCAAATTTCCATCCCCCAGAAAAGCATTTCAGAGATTTCCTATCCCTCTAAGAAGAAAAACTTGTCTACCAGGATGAAAATATTGATACTGGGCAAATAAAAAATAAAAAGTACACTTAGCTTTAGCTTTTCACAATTTTATTAATCTTCATAAGCAGGCAGTAAAGAGTATAAAAAGATAAATGACCTATAGTTTGCACACATTCCCAAATGCTGTTCACTACACTGGCTCTCCCAGAGGTCTGTTCAGTTCTAGATGACAGGACAACGTTACACCCGTTGATCTGGTTCCGACTCACACCCGGGGGAGGATTTAGCTATGGTTACCGAAGCCATTACCATCCCCATTGCCTCACCTCCCCTACAGAAGCAACCACTACAGCCGAGGGCAGCCAAGCTGGCTGCGTGTCCGAGCCGTGGTTTTTTTACTGAAAAGCTGAGCAGCAGCCACAGTGCTGGCTCGGAAGAAGCTGTAAGCTGTGGCGCTGCAGCTGCCTGGCTGGAAGTTCAACAGTTCCAGCCTTCCTGGCTGAAACCGGCAGGAGAGAGAAGACTGAGCAGGTGGGTATCCCGGTGATACAGGAGGGAGATTATATAAATAGGGAGAAGAAGAAACTACTGAAAAAGGAAAACAGAAGGTGAGTCATGGAGGGAAGGCATTCTTTGAACAGATACTGGCTCGATCCAAGTACATCTGGAAGTCTGAATGATTTTTGAACAAGTTTACTTGTTCTTTAGCTGCCAACTCTAAGGAGACTAACTTCCAAGCATGCTCCATTTGTGCAAAACCACATCTGAACAGCCCTGCCATTCACAAGCAAAGCAAAGCAAAGCAAAGGTTTTATAGGGCAAGTAAACATCCCAGAACATAATTTTCAGCAGAAATTTAACAGCTGAAGAAAACATTTTAATGGTGTCATCCAACTGTCTTTTTTTACCCTTTACTGCAGTTCCAGATCAATCACACAAAATAAGATAAGGTTTTATCTCACACCATCCTCTGTAATGTCCATGCATTCTGAAGTAAATTTTGTTTTATCAGATGTGACTTGGGTGCCACAGAACACTTCATCATCTTGTAATACCTTCTGCCTTATTTTAAGTACTGCTACTCCAGTAAGACTGACAGGACATAGTAGAATACTAACAGAGAGGGGACAAAGCCCTCACTGCTGATCCTTTTGAAAAATCACTAACTTTTTTCTTTTTTTTTTTTTCTTTTTTTCCATTTAAAAAGATATTTAGTTCCTTTCAAATCATCTACCAGCCTGTGAAAAATGAAAGAAAACAAAACCCCAACCCCACCGTCAAACCTGAAAGTAAGAAGGTGATATAGAAACAAAAGACACAAATTGAAAATATTCATGGCTAAAAATACTGGCCACTGTTCTCCTATCTCACAGCCTAACCAATAGGGGGAATAGATGAAGTTGGGACAGAAAACACATTATGTGCCATTGGAATTCATAATCCAATGTTAACTTGACTTTTGAGTGTATGCATCAACAAGTAGATCTCTTACATGTGGTTTCCACACAGGTTTATTACTACTCGTGCGGCCTCACAGGCTTTAGCTTGTTAGCAATAGATGTTGAATATGGTAATCTCCCTTTTAGTTTTTACTTTCTCACGCTGAAAAGCTCCATGCACGAAATGAGCAGCCATCCCTTCAGAGAGAAAAGACGCAAGCAAGCAAGGGAAACTACACACAGAGGGAAGCAATCCTGAGAAGATGGAGAGGGAGGAAGGTATTAAAGTGACTGGCAGTAGCCATTCATAAGGCATTTGGGGAAATACGGGACTCCATGTAGGTACTGAATCTGGGCGAAAGGAGATGGTAGAAGGGGAGGAGGGAAGTGAAGCAGAGATGCTCTTTTCTCCTCTTGCAGGTCCTGAAGAGTACAACGATCCCTTCTTTCTGCTAACTCTAAGGCCCTTCAGATGTATTCCCCTTGCAGCTTCACAGATCATGTTACAGCAATATTAAGAGGAATTAACAGAAACAGCGTACAAAGGGAAGAGACGGCAGATGATGTGGCAGGAGGCTTTTTCAAGGGTTACTTCAGAAGCCAGCTGAAGACCAAAGCTATACAAAAGACAGGCAGGTAAAAGGGGCACTGGCCATGAAGAACTCCTCGAGCAGTGGGTAAAATTGTAGTTTTACGATTTAAGGGAATGAGAGGTTTGGTGAAGAATGCCTGGGCTTTCAAGGAAGTCAGCTGTTTGGAGCACGAAGGCAGCAGCACTTCCAGGAAAGCTCTGGAGTCAATGAGTTTGACAGAAGCATCCACTAGGTAGATCCTACTGTTGCTGAAGGAACACTGAGGCCAGGACAGTGGAAAGGCTGATCAAGGCACTACAGCCATGATTGCAGCTCCAGCAACGTGTTCCCAAACCCACTACAGAAGGGGTGTTCCGCTGGCCTGCAGACTGGCTCCTATTCCTCTTGGCCTTGAATGAAGGGTTTAACATGTTAATGCTTCAGAAGGTCCCAGGTCTGAGACTCTATCCAGACAATTGAAATAACACGCACATGACAAGTCAGTACTGACTGCAACTGTCTGAGATCAACAATATGCGGGGAATACAGGTTGCTGTTTCAGTATGAGAACCTACAAAAAGTATTTCTGTGAAAGTTAGAGAAAAGGACACCGAAAACTCTAGTGGCTTCTGGAGGTAACTATGAGACATTTAAATTTAGGTTCAGTTACTAAAGTGTGAAAGCATTTTGTTCCACCTTCAAAGCAAATCTTATGTACCATAGCAGAGGCATGGTACTCCATGAGGTCTCCATGGTACCGAAAGATAGAGCTCGGTTTTAAGACAGGCTTGAAAGTTCTGAGAGGTGTTGGCAGTTTATTACACCTTTATGTGGTGGGGATCAATCAGTTTGGAACAGCAGTAAAAACAATTCTATCCCAGCTGTTCCTTTCAGTTCCTGTCGTTACCCAGTGCTTGTTCCACTTTCAGAAATTAGATTATTTGGGGGCTTTTAGTGTCAGCACTGCACACGAGAACAGCTACCATGTTCCTGCCTCCCACAATTCCTACTGACTTGTTTAATTTTATCTTAAACAACCGCCACCATGATCAAATCCATCACCACTTGAGTTTACCAGTTAGCGCAGAGTTAATGAACAAAAAAATAATACGTACCTGGCAGGAAAAGGCTATGCATCCTTTATCAAGCAAAGTGACATATCTGTCCATGTTTTCTCTGCAGCAAACTGGACAAACTAGTTTTACAGAAACAATTGCCAAAATATTTCAAAAGCACTCCAATTCACCATATCACAGATTCCTTTGTCTCTCTTCTCTATTTATGCTTCTGGTCCTGAAGTCTTTTTGCCTGTCTTTATTTCGCTTTCCATTTTTCAAAAATAAAGTCCTACTTAACTTAATAGCACTATAAAATTCTTGGTTTGTCTTCAGTAAAGTTCATTCATTCTGGAATAAATACGTGTTCAACACGACTGATGTTCTTCCG